GGTCCACTGACCACGGCATCCCATTCGTACTCCCCGAGCATCTAGGGCATGGCTCCTCCTAGGCAACGTGGACCACCGGCCCACAGCATCCCGCTTTCTCGACAGGCTCCTCGGGGCATTGTCATCCGAAGACCGACGGCACCAATCATCTCTTAGTCACACAAACACACGCACAAACGATCTTTTCATTTATCACATGCACATTTTGCATAGTTCATAGGGATCTTGCCATTTACCAAGCACTCCTCGGACTCCAAAAACAATCATGAGGGTCAAATTTACCTCATCATATCGAGACCATCAATACCTCGTTGGAAAGCGCAGGATGTAAAGAGTTTGACCCCAGAAGACATTAAATCGAAATACCAATGTTTTCAAATAGGAAATGATGGATCATTGAAATCTGGAAAAACTGGGCAGTTTTGCATTGCTTGAGAAATCAGACTCAAAGACAAAGTAAATGGGCTCCAAAAATTCTAGATTTCGGATATGTTATAAAAAAGACCTTAACAAATATTTTCCATGAGGAACATAGTTTCTGAATCTTTATGTAAACGTTACTTTCAATGGCTCGAAGACAGACCAAAACTGGTCCGCCGAAATAGGGAAAACGAACCATGAGGAATGCTCGTTTCACAAACCAAATTCTTTGAAAACACTTTGAAATTTTTATATGTTGTAGACATGGATTTCTTTAACAAATTTTGTAAGGAAGTGTGACCAAATTCAAACTGGAAATTTTTACAAAAATTTGAGAAGACATAAAGGTCGCTGGTTTTACGAGATAAAACGGATTTGATACGGTAAATAACTGGATCTTCATGTAACCCATTTGAACTCATAAAAATCTGAAATTTAAGTATATTATAGTCCAAGATTTTCTGAACAACTTTGATGAAGAAAGTTTTGCAAGATTCGGACCACAAAAAGCGTGATAAAAATGACAAGCAAGGGGTGTCCAGTAAAATCGGTTCTGGAAACCAAGACCAAAGTTCAAGAAACAACCTTGATATGAAACCTACGAACATGCATTCAAGAATATACAAAGCCAGAAGCTCGAACTAACATGTAACAACCCTTTTCAACTTGGTTTAGCAACCTAGACCCACAAAGCTCATTTCCAAAGGTCTAAACCATCAAGCTTGGGTAAAAACACAACCAAACCATTCTCAACTACAACAACCAGCCATCACATTGTCTAAACCAAGACCCAACTCAACATGCAAACACTAACATGGTTAGTATGGAGTGAGGGAGCACACTTGCTTTCACGGCGAGTGCGGCGGCACGACGTGCGGTTCTTGGCGGAAGAGAGAGAGAAAGTGAGGTGCTGTGGTTCCTGGACCGAGCTGGCGGTGGCTGCTGTTGACGTGAGGGGATGGGACAGCTGGCCGCGTCTTCTGGTCGCGGACGGAGCAGACGGAGGAGGACCTGAGGTGGCGGAGGGAATGGCGGCTGGTCGGACGGACGGGCGGCCGTGGACTCGAGCTGCTGGGGAGCTCAGAGTGGAGTGGAAGAGACGAGCGGGAGGGAGAGGGTGAGTGAGAGAGCTGGTGGAAGAGAATGAGAGTGAGAGAGAGCCAGCTGGAAGTAGAGGGGGAAAAGAGAGGGAAAAGTGAGGGAGATAAAGAGTCATCGACTCTTCGCCTTCCCATGCAGGCAATCCCATTGGCTGGCTTGGGCGGTGGGTGCATGGCCCAAGCATGAGCGCCATTTGGTGCTTCTCCTCCGTCATGTGGCGGAGCGGAAAAAGAAAAAGAAAAGAAAGGAGAAAGGAAGAAGAGAGGGGGCGGCGGTGATGGTGGTGTTCCGGCGGGCAAAGGGGAGAAAATTGGGGCGGGGGGAATGAGAGCGACGGGCTTGGCAAGGAGTTGGGTCACACGGATGGTGCGACGTTGGAAATAATTGATCCAATGGAAATGAATCCGAGAATTAAAATTCACGATTCCAAAGACGACAATGGCGGCATTAGTGCGACATCCAAACTTCCAAATTCTCTTTTCCTGATTTCGATCGTCGAGCGTCCTAATCCATCAGGGTCCGTACATTCTTTCGGTTGTACAAAGTTTAGGATGTCACAGTGTACGTGCCATATATTTTTGTAAATGACGTGTCAAATTGTGTAGATAAGATCAAGTTTGTATTAAAATTCTAAGTAAACATCTGTCACGTCACTTTATAAACTTAATTTCCATTCTAATCTCGTCTCTCTAGCATACTATGTATGTTCATTGGGGTAGAAATTTTGGACCAAGCAAATGATAATGAAAACCTAGTCATCACGTCGTCGGTCGATCACTCGCCTATCCATCTCTGTATGTGTGTGTGGATGTGCGCAACGACAAAGTGCGCACATTGCAATTATCTGACCGTCGTACGAATAGGTAAGGCGAAGGATCGTCATCTCAAGCAGTGATATCCAATTGAAGGTGATCTCATAACTGGAGCTTTTAACTGTTGGGCTCGGGAGCAGATAATGAGATTGTGCGAGTTTTTGGCAATGTAGATCTTCAGCCAGAAAAGTCGCAGGGTGCCTCGATAAATCTCGACAATTGACATACACAGGCACACATGATGTTTTTATGTACGGTTCGTATTTATCGAGTCATTAAGGATAGCACCATGCGAGGTACCGGACTTGCATCCGAGTCGGTGGGTGAGAGAAATTTGCTCACGTGTCGCAAATTTTACCCTCGTATTTATTATCATTGATGTCTCAGTGTATTCGGCACGTCAGCACGATGTTACAGGCCAAAACGGGAGAGATGAAAATAATCCTAAACCAAATAAGAGTTTATTTGACTCATCAACATGATAAGGTTTTGGACAATCCAAATTTGTTTTCGCTTTCTTTCTTCTTCCATGTTTTCTTCTTTTTTCCTTTTGCAAACTCACCCTTCTTTCTTCCACGAGCCACGGCGAACTACAAAACGATGCACATAGACGTCCTATACCGTCGCAGCCGTGCCGACCTCTGTCCGAGCTGCGCAACCCACTTGCTACTGCGCTACCCTTGCAGCGGCCACCATCACCACCACCACCACCACCACCATCCCCGCTCACCTCTCTCTCTCTCTCTCTGCCTTTGTCGCTCTCTATCCTTTTATGCCCTCTCTGTGACAAAGATTGCCGCCCTCAAGCAGCCTAGATCGAAGGCTGCTTGAGGCTGGGCAACCTTCGATTCGTAAGGGATTCCCGGTTTGTGTTTGCATCAAAAAATGACCAACTTTTGGTTATTATCTACATATGATAGACTTAGTTGATAAGAGCAGAATTTAGTTATTTATTAATTGAATTATCAGTAACTTGAAGAGAATCGATAAAATTACCAGTGAACTCATCGACGATACACAAAGTGAAGTTATCGACGACCTTGAAGTTGATCAACAAAGTCATCAATATCGACATCAAGTAATTGACAAGAGGATAACCGCTGGTTGGTTATTGTGCCACTATTTTAGGATTGTTGTAACTTCTAGTAACCACTAATAAGATATTGTTTTTTAGTAACAGATTGTAACCTCTTTTTGTAATCTTCATTGATAACCGTTGTAGGTTTTAAATAGCTACATCGTACTCTTCAAAGGACAACCCAAATTTACTATATTTCAGTACCTTACTTTCTTGCACCGTATCTTTATTTTCCAGACTTGCATCATTGATCAAATTCCAGCATGTTTAGTAGCTATAATTTCTAGATCCGCGTTGTCGATTAAATTCTAGCGTGTATCACTGTCATAGGTGTTGCGTCGCCGATTAAATTTCGGCATGATATCTTAGCATTCTCAAACTTTTCATTGATTAAATTTCAGCAAGGTTTGTCTACATCTGGTTTGATTGTGAGAACTACACTTATGGATCCTATCACTGATTAAATTCCGTCACGGTAAATGAAGCCGTTGGTTCCTTCATTTTTCTGGATATTTCTTATTCGGAGCTGGCGCAGAACCCGTTTTCTTTAATAAAAACTGAAAAACGACTTTCGATGAAAGATATTTTGTCGCGGGAGAAATTCCGGTCAAAAAGTTTGGTATTTTACTCCTTATTCATCATAGAGGCAAAGAGAGAGACATTGGCGATGGTTGCGAGTAGGTGTAGTGGCGACGATTGATGGTCGCGCAAATGTCAAAGGAGACCCGATGAACGTAGCGTGGTGCGAGAAGAGACGAAGGAGCTAGGGTTGATATTTGGATATTTTGGTGTGTTCTTCTAAATCTAGGGCCTTTCAAGCTTTCCGGTTTATGATTAGTCGATCAAACACTGGCTGTGTAATCATAAAATCAATGGTGGATGAAGTCGCTTGTGGAACTTTTACCCTTTGCTAGTGGTATACCGTATGAAAGTTATGTTAACTAGTTTCTTTTAGAATTCCACATTTTAACGAAGTCACATACTTCATAAAATAAACTTTAAATTATTAAAGCATATTTAACAAAATGAGATTTAACAAGTGTTGGGGGGACTATTTCGAAAAACTAGTTTTTGATTTTTAATACATTAATCACATGTAACATGAAAACCACATACTTTTGTAAGATAAATGGCTGTTTGACAAGTTTCCCTTTTAAAATTGTCCATCCTATGAAAGTCCATTATGGACTGGTAACCCCTAATCACAGAGGATTAAAGAGTGATTAATGAGTCTTGTTCATTAATCTGATACCGTATCTGATCTTTTTGGACCGCCTGGAATTGGTGCACCAGTCGTAGTGCGAGAGAGAGAGAGAGAGAGAGAGAGAGAGAGAGAGAGAAAGAAAGAGAAAAGTGGCGCTCTCTCCTCTGCATGGCATGCACGTCCCTCTACATGAAGCGGCGAGACGCAGCACACATAAATGGCTACTCTTCTTTTCGCTGGTTTCAACCAACTCTCTGCCATCTTCATTCAAACCCCCGTCCCCCCTTCGAGATCGTCCCTGCAACACAACCCCGCAGTTTCACCGTCATTTACTCAAACCCCTTCAATACCCTCAACCGTACGCCCCACCGTCTCACTCTCACTCTCTCTCTCTCTCTATAAATGACCCCCACTCTCATGCTATGGAACAAGCAGGAACACTCAATCTTTGAGAGAGAGAGAGAGAAAGAGAGAGATGGCGAGGTGGGTGTGCGCATGGCTGGTGCTTGTTCTCGTGGCAACGACCCAAGCAAGTGCACGTAAGGTTCCGAGGGACGCTGGTCCGAACGACGACGCGTCGGTGCATGCAACTGCATCCAAAAAGCGAAGCGGTGAGGTTACGAAGGAGGAGACGGTCATAGTGCACGCGAGTGGGCCGGAAACGGCAGCCGCAGCGGAGGCGCCGGGCGGCGGCGTGGATGACAAGAAGAATTTCATTGCCTTCGGCGGCATTGGCGGGTTCGCAGGAGCTGGCGGGTACACCGGGATTGGCGGTGTCATGCCGACCCTCGGTGGTGGCGGTGGGATTGGCAAAGGAATCGGAGGAGCTGCTGGAATAGGCGGTGTCGCTGGGGTTTTGCCTCTTGGGGGTGGCAGCGGGTTGGGCGGCGTGGGCGGCCTCGGAGGTGGGGCCGGCGGCATGGGCGGTGTAGGCGGCCTCGGAGGTGGGACTGGCGGCGTGGGCGGTGTAGGTGGCCTCGGAGGCGGAGCCGGTGGCGTGGGCGGTGTAGGCGGTCTCGGAGGTGGGGCCGGCGGTTTAGGTGATCCACCCGGCAGCGGGGCCGGAGGGGTAGGCGGTGGGACCGGTGGAGTTGGTGGATTGGGGGGTGTTCCGGGTGTTTTTCCTTGATTAAATTTGAGCATTCCTAGGTGTTTGTCACATTTAATCTTCTTGAAACCTAATTTTAGTGTCGTGGTCTTTGAGTGTCGGTCATTGTCAAATAAAGAAGTTTAGGATTACTGTTTAGGTTATGGTCGTTGATTAGGAGTGTGGAGGACATTGTTGTCCTCATTCGAGGTTGCAGGTGAAGTCCTTTCTTCCATTCTCATTTAGGGTTTGTTGCATTTTGTCATTGTACTTCGATATATCAACGCACGCGTGGAGATGTTAGCTTTCTTTAATGAATTTCCCAAGTGAGTGTCTTGAAATATTTGGAGCTTTCGTGGTATTTTTTCCAGAAGATGAAGAATACAAAGTGAGTGCTTGCATGCGGATCGAATGAGAAGGACGATACTAACTTTGATTGTTAATTGTCCAATTTTAGACTTTGGAAAACCCTAGAATGGGAGATCCGGATTTATATAACTTAACTAAGTTTCAGCCATTTTATTTTCTGTATAAACATCTAATCATGTTCGAGGGGGCCAAGGTAAAAAGCATCTTTTGTTGCACTAATATTCAAAGGGACTATTTTGGAAGTTCTTGTTAGCAAAAGATTCAGCAATCAAGGCCAGTTAGGTCTAAAATTTTAAACCGTTAGATGAAAATGTAATTTAATATTTAAATATATAATACTGCCCATCACGAGTAGATTCACATTTTGCCTAAAATTCGAAGACTGTAGTGTGAGAGCTAATTAGAATTTGGCAGATAAAAAAGGAGACCAGAGAAATATATCATATGAATGCATTACCTTCTGCTATCATAAGATGTGAAATTTTGAATAACCCCTATAGTTTAAAAAGCTTAAGTTATTAAAAAAGTGTAATTTAATATTCAGATGCCCTAACACTTACAAGCATAGATACGAATGCATGATTCTTGTCAAAAAGCCTAATAAGATAAACAGATGAAAAGGCAAAGTTTTGACTTACAGTAATTTAATTACAATGCGATGCACGGGTTACTTTTACTGATTTTTCTCGATAAAATTGATCAACATGAATTGGTTTTATTAAGTTTTAAAAAACTATACAACATCATTATTCTTTTGTGGTTTTGTAATTTCAAACTTTAAACTAAAGAAATTTTTTGAAAAGTGGGAACTCTTTCAAAAATTATGTGATTTTAGATTCTCATTGTATCGTCTTTTACCTTTGGTGCTTTTCTAAAGATTATTTTCTGAGACAATTTGCGCATGAGATTGACTATCGAAAAATAGAACACGGCAAGTGTTAAAACACAGGCATATTTACTAGGATTCCCGCAAAGTCATAGTTTTTGGGAAATGGATTTGTCCAATGTACTATCAGAATATAATTCAAGAGTGTAAATTCTAGCATTCCCTCTCAATTTTTGCGAGTGTAAGGACCAACTTATTCGCGAAGGGAGCGCAGAGTAATATGCTATAAACACATTTACATTGACTCGTTTTCTTACGGATTAAGCTTTTAGGAAAAACGGTTTATCTAACTGCTATCATTGTAATTTTTCGAGAAGGAAAACTTGATTTTTGGAGCGGAACTCTAAAAACAAAAAAATAAAATTTCAAATATGGTGCGTTCTAAGTATATTACGGAAGATCAATGCAGCTACTGATAAGAGAGCTGAAACTTCCGGTTTGCATGCCCACCATCTGTACGAAGGTCTCAGGTGTGGCAGAGAATTCATGTCCTCCTAGTATTTAATGGATACACCTGACAAATTTAAATGGTGCATTAAAAGCAAATGTGTCATAAAAATGCTACAGATCACTTCATCAGTGTTTGCTCGGCGAGGTTCGTGCTAGGGAAGGTTGAACGACAGAAGCGCGCAGGTAGGGGAAAATATTTTCAGAGGACCTTATATTTATGATCAAGAAATGAAAATGCATACTAAGATAGGGATGTAATTTGTAAGAGGGAAAACATGCGTTTTGATTCGATCGCGACAAACTTATCTCGTTAAGTTTGTTACCGGAAATACACGGTAGGACCATGTCTGATCGACGTGGTTCAGCCACTGTGACAAAATCCTAAGTGATGGGGCGGAATTCGACAAGAAACATGAGTAGTTATGCATAGTAACTCTGCGAGTTGAGCCTTTGACATGTAATGTAAATGGAAGTAAATGGAACTTCAGTATCTCGTCTTATAAGCCCCCTCTCGAGTAGTCAACTTTCTTTTGGTGAACTCTTTCCACTTAGTTTGTCCATCTCCTAGCAAGTATCACATGGCTAGTTGCAGGTTTGTTAATGTCCCTGTGGCGCTTGTTAATGAAGCAATTAAAGAAGGTTTACTGTTTTTCTTTTTCGCATTATGTGTTATTGCTGCCTTGAATATTAAAATACTTTCAAGGTTGTTAACAAGTGCCTCAAAACACTTGGAAGTAATCTAGGGTCCGCTTGTTTTGTCAAAATATTACTGTTGGAGGACATTTTCTTTTTTCATTTTCCGATAGCTGGATGCTTTCGAAAAACAAGTCAACGGAAACCATATGCTTGAATACAGGAAAATGACTTCACCATTTGCAATAGAATTAAATTTTCAAAATATGATTAGACCTCGGTTTTAGGCCCAGGATCCAAGCTGTCGGCTAGGGACCTTGGCACCCGTCCTCGAAGGCCAAGCTCGGGTCCCCTAGTTAAGGATTCGGACCTCCGCACTGGTGCTAGGTCCCCATAGGCGGAGCCCGAGACCCTGGCTCATGCCTTCAAGACATTGGCAGCGAAGTCCGAATCCCCCCAAGGATGGGTATGGGTCCTCTGAGGCCGAATCCGGGACCCAAGCAAATAAGAGAATGATAAACTAATATTTGTTAACAAATAAAAGCGGGTAAACAATAAGATAAACCTTTCCTTGTCAGAGATAAAGAAGTTGGTATTTGAAAAAAAATAAAGAAATAAACAATGGTAACTAACTCGAGTAAGATAATTTTTGCTTAAATTTAGGAAAATCACTGAAAATCACTTCTTCCTCTAAAAATTAAAATTAACTTTACAAAATATGACTAGACCTCGAACTCGAACTCAAGGCCTCAACAGCTAGGCCGGGACCTTGAGAATCGCGCCCGGGTCCCTTGAGTCCAAGCGTAGGTCCCAATTAGTCGGGCCTGGGACCTTAATACCCATGCCTAGGTCTCTCAAGGCCAAGCCGGGGTCCCAAGTAGTCGACCTCAGGTCCACTGAGGTCAGGACTGGATCCCAGCGCTCATATAGGGTCGTCAGCACCCAAATCGCAAATTTCAGTGACTAGGTCAGGGTTCCTCGAGGACGGGCCTAGGTCCCCTAAGGTTGAACTTCGAACCCCTGCTAATAAGAGAAAATTGATAAACTGTCTTTTTGTAAATAAATCAAAGTTGGTAAACGATAATATTATAAACAGTTTTTTACCAAAGACAAGAGAAGCCAGTATAAATAAAAACACAATGTTAACTAACTCAATAGGAGTTTATGACCAAAAAAAAAAACTCAATAGGAGTAAGTAAAGAAAAATAAATTTGGTAGAAAAGTTATTCAGTCTAATTGAGATTTGTAAATTCTAAAAAGGGTTGATCAATTTAAAAGGTTAACAGGTAAGACAAATAAAAGTGGTAATTTGATAAAAAGGTTAGTGCATTAAAAGAAGATAAACATACGTGATAAGCAACTCGAATTAGAATTAATAATCCAAAACTGTTTGGTAATTTAATCAAAGAAAAGTGATAGGCCACTCAAATAAAGGCTGGTCATTTATATAATAGTTGGTAGCTTTAACACATTCGCAAGAAAGGTAAATAAAAGGGAAAATTGTCCTAAAAGTTTTCGTCTGGCAACCAATTCAGTTCTAACCTTTCAATTGTGTCAATTTAGTCTTAAATCTTTCGCGATTTGCGAATTTAGTCATTCTTGCCAAATTTGATGGGAAATCGCTAACACGACCGCTGGCCATCCTATGTGGTGCTCCCGGTACTAATGTGGATAATTTTTGCTTTTTTTTTTTTGAAAATCTAAATTTCTCCTTCTTCTTTTTTCCTTTCTTTCTTCTCCTTTCGCCTGTGGCCAGTTTGGCTGATACCCGGCCATGGCTGGCGACCGACCACAAATGAATGCTGCCTTCGTCAGATCTGGTGAGGGCTCGAACCTTGTAGCTTGCGAGGGCAACCCAGCCACAAGCAAAAGAAAAAAAAAGGAAAAAAAGGAAAAATTCAAAAAAAAATTAAAAATGCAAAAATTGTTTACTTTAGTGCCGACCACACCATGTAGGACGGTCAATAGTCAGTCGGCATCCATGTCAGTGATTTCAGCCAAAATTGGCCGGAATAACTAAATTAGCAAATCGTCAAAAGTTCAAGATTAAATTGGCACAATTGAATGGTTTAAGACTAAATTAGCTGCCGTACAATAATTTTATTACTTTTTGGACAATTATCCCGTAAATAAAAGTTCGTATATTGATAAGAGAAATAAGAGAAATTGATAATTTAAAAACCCGTTAACTAACTAAAACGAGAGTTTGTAACTCAAAATTAACTGGTAATTTAGTGGGAAAAAAAGTTGGTGAGTCATTCAAAAAAATATTAGCAAATTCGTATCAGAGTTAGCTAATTTGAAGTGTCGGAAAGAAAGAAGATAAGAGAAGCTGATATTTATAAATAGTAAATGAAAAGTTATAAAATTGTTGGGACTCGGTGATTACTAACGAGTTTTGGGAAAATTAGAATAGCGATAACCTTTTTTACCAATAGTTTTTTTTAATAATTATTAGCTCTTTCAGAAATTTACCAATGGAAATAGTTTTGTCGTCAGGAGCTTCTCTTTTTCATATATCAATTATATCCTACGAATCTAACACCATAAAAAAATTGGAAATGTAATGCCTCAGAAAACCCACCACTGCTCTTTGTTTTTACAGGAAGGTACATAAATTTTCTCCCGTTTCCAATTTACCGAATCTGAGCAGAATTGAAAGACATTTCCTTCCCGAGACGGCTCTGTTTGCTGAGACCGCTGATCAATCTTTCATTTACAAGAAACTCTCCGTTATTAACTCACGTCTGTCACCAACCATCAATCTTCACCCTATAAAAAGAGGCTCGAGCTAGAGACTCCATGCGTGCAAGCAAAGACCAAGCAAATCAGGACGGAGCATCTTCTAGCACGCCAACCTCACCTGATCGAATCTAATGGAGAACCGAAAGACGGCGAGGACTTGTGTCATGTTTGTGGTGTTTTTCGTCCTCACTGTGCACGGCGGAGCTGC